GCCTGTAGTCCCAGCTACTTGGGAGGTGGAGGCAGGAGACTCACTTGAGCCCAGAAGTTGGAGGTTGCTGTGAGCTGTGATGCCATGGCACTCTACCCAGGGGGATAGCTTGAGGCTCCATCTAAAAAAAGAAAAAAAAGAAATTGGAAGATCTGGCCACATTAGGGCCTTCTCAGAGACCAATAATCTAGAGTTGATTATTCAGGTAGAATATGCAATTTCTAGTTCACCATCCAGGACATTTTCTTTATTTAAGGTACCTGCCTGATCCTTATAGATATTTGATTGTGTGATAGTAAAAAAATCATTTAAAATACATAGATTTGGCCAGGCGCAGTGGCTCACGCCTGTAATCCCAGCACTTGGGAGGCCAAGGCAGGTGGATTGCCTAAGGCTCACAACCAGCCTAAGAGTGAGACCCTGCCTCAAAAAAATAGACAGGCATTGTGGCAGGTGCCTGTAGTCTCACCTATTCGGGAGACTGAGGCAAGAGAATTGCTTGAGCCCAAGAGTTTGAGGTTGCTGTGAGCTGTGATGCCACAGTACTCTACCAAGGGCAACAAAGTGAGACTCTGTCTTAAAATAAATAAGTAAATAAAAATAAAATACACAGATTCTATTTGGTTTTATAAGTATCTTCCTCATGGGAAGACTTAAGCAGGCATGCAGAAAGGATAAGAGAGTGGAATGCAGCTCAGAGCCCATAACACAGTGGTTTCAGCTCTGGCCACAAACACCAAGGCTGGCAGGTTCGAACCTAGCCCGGGCCAGCTAAGCAACAATGACCACTGCAACAGAAAAATAGCCAGGCATTGTGGCTGGTGCCTGTAGTCCCAGCTACTTGGAAAGCTGAGGCAAGAGAATTGCTTAAGCCCCAAGAGTTTGAGGTTGCTGTGAGCTGTGATGCCACAGCACTCTGCTGAGGGCGATGTAGTGAGACTCTGTCTCAAAAAAAAAAAAAAAAAAAGAAAGAAAGTGAGAGAGAGAGAGTGGAATCCATGAATCTAAGACTTTGAGGTTTCTGGTAATGAGGAGTTCCAAGTATGTATGATCACAGCAATGTGTGGCTGAGAAGGGATAGAGGAAAGGGTGAAGGAATTGGAAGGTGCAAATGCCACAGGAATCAGTAACAGAAGCTTTCCTAAGATCAATACCTAGAGAGTTGAGGCAAAGGGAAAGATTATAAGCCAGGAATGCACAAGGACTCCAAAATGATAAGTAAAATTACAATGTGGGAGAAAAATACAAAAGAATTAACATTAGCAGAAAGATCTGGACCTAACTCTTTGACATAGGTTGTCTCCTTGAATATTTGAGAGTAAATATTAATATGCAGTGCTAATAAATATGTGTAGTAGATATTAATATATTACTAGTAGGCCTCTGAGGGCAGATGTTAGTATCTTCGTGGTATTTCTGAACTGTTAAGGTGACCAGACATCCCAATTTTTAACAATTTGCCACGCGTCATACTGCGTTTTTAAAAAGTCCCGATTTTTGGAAGAATGGACGACAAGCTAGGGAATGGCAGGAGAATGGGAAGGGAATATACGGTTTTTGGGTGCCATGTGGCTATTTCGCCAGGATATGAGTTTTATATTATTTTTGTTAATTTTATAATGTTAAACTTTTTTTTTTTGAGACAGAGCCTCAAGCTGTCCCCCTGGATAGAGTGCTCTGGCATCACAGCTCACAGCAACCTCCAACTCCTGGGCTCAAGTGAGTCTCCTGCCTCCGCCTCCCAAGTAGCTGGG